AATAAAATTTGTTCTCATTATCGTTTCAAAATACATACGGTGGCACACAACAAATTAATACGGTTGCACCGTTCACGAAACCTAATTTTTTTTACCCTTCGGCGGAGAAAATAATACGATGGCACGTGCCACCTATACCACAAGCCTAGGTCCGTCCATGGCTCCACAAAGCTTACCAACATGTAATGGGTTGAGTTGGATTAAGAAATTTAAAGATAGTTGAATGAGTAATGATTTTCCGAACCAAAATAGTTGGGTTTAGCTGTTCAAATGATCTCAAACTGCCAAACTCAATCTATATGCACCCATGAATGTTATACTCTTTAAGGTTATGAGCAAACCTTCCAATCATCGATCGAGACTAGGGAGCGGATGTACGTGAGACTAGAGAGTTTAATGACTATTGAAGATGGAACTCAACTGTTTGTCTTGTACTCTTTTGCTTGTTTAAAATTTAACTTTAAAAGTTTAATTAGGGTTTGCTTTAAAACTGGACTTGCTTATGTTGCATATTTCCACTTTGTGTTAATTATCTCGATTATAGAACATGAACTATAAAACGTTGTTTTGTCATTTTACACACACTTACTAAGGGGTCGTTTACCAAACACTTATCCGGATATGTGCTTACCAAGCTACATTACCTTATCGGGTGAATATGACAATGACCAAAAATCTTACCTGGTAAGACCGAGGCAAGGACCAATAATCTTACCCTGTAAGTGAGAACGGCGACTCTTACTATGGTCAGCATTTACCGGTGTTGCATACAATGCCGCTTTGGTGAACTAAAATCTTACCCGACAAGTAAGTGATAATGTTGAATTTTGTCGATAAGTACTTACCGAGTAAGTGTTTGGTAAACGACCTCTAACCGTATAAACCGCACCAGATTGTTCCGTATTTTGCAGTATAGTATTATATGGTCTGAAACATGTATAGTTCATTATTTGATTTAAAAAATTGTATAAAATATAAATAAAAAATAGTATTGTATAGAGTATGCGTATGTAGAGGGGATGGGTAGAGAGAGGGGTGTGGCTGCGCCCACTTTTATTGAAAGCCGAGGTACATTGAATCTGATTGGATGATGCCTTCTCTTTTGAGTCCACGATCTACTTTATTACTACTTTTTATTCAACATTATTATTATTATTATTATTATTATATATATATATATATATATATATATATATAGAGAGAGAGAGAGAGAGAGAGGGGTTGTTTATTATACACTCCTTAATATTTGTGTAATTAATACAACTCAATTTCAACTGTACATTTCATTTGATTAATATATGATTTTATAGAAGTTTTGATTGTTTTCTAATATAAAATATTGATCATAATTAATGAATCATATTCATATTCCATAAATATTCAAATCATAATAAATGAACTCTCATCATTTCCATAAATATCTCAATTTATTGGTTGCATTGGTTGTACAAATGCGACGGGTTGTATTTGAAACAAACTCTCTCTCTCTCTCTCTCTCTCTCTCTATATATATATATATATATATATAGGGAAGAGTTCAAACGAGAACACTTTCATTTTACGAGAATGTGATAACATCTTTTTTACTATAGATAATCACATGTGATACTATTATTCCATCACATGTGATATAAATCAGAGACGCGGACGATTTTCGATGAGATCTTGGTTGCGTGCCAAGTCGTCCTTACACCACTAAGCCCCCTCACAAGTATTATCACATGTGATAAGATTGTTGTTGATATGATACTATAATCCATCAAGACCATAACATGTGATGTTAAATCATAGACGCAGACAACCTTTGGCTCGACTTAAGTCGTAGAACACGTCGTCCGCATATCATATGGTCCCTCACGCGTATTATCACATGTGATAAGGGCGTTCTGAAGTTCTCGTAAAATAGAGGTTTTCTCGTTTGAACCTCCACATATATATATATATATATGTATATATATATATATTCTGTCTTTATTTGTTCTCAACCATTTTTCTAAAATATAAATATTTTTTAAGATCACTTTCCATTAAATTTATACCAATTTTACTTCACACCAACCTTTTTGGTTTTTAAACTTAGGGGTATATTACAATTTACAAATATTGTACATGTGGTTTCGTTCTAGTTACAAAGGTCCCTAAACCTTCTAAGATTCATGATTATGGTTTCCATGACTTTATTTTTGTTATGAATTTAATTCCTTGTATTAACCTCTGTTAAACTTTTTTTATTAAGTTAAGGATATTTTGATTTTTTTAAATTCTAACTTCTGTTAAAAATATAAATTGATTGTACAAATACAAATGCTATTTGTATAAGTTTTTAAAGCATCTAACAGAACGAAAAAGAATTTTACAGCTTTTCCTCTTCCTCGTTGTCCAGTACCGCATCTCCTACCCCAACCACATATCTGACCGCCCTTTAGTTTAAAACACACACATAAATACACCAACTTTTGTACACATATCACCACCCATTTCTTCCTTATCGATAGTGTAATCATTGACCTTCCTCAACGACTCCCCTGCCCAAATTATAATCTACCTCCATTACCTCCTTTGGCTACATGGCCCACACCTATCTCCGACTCCATGGAAGAAACAAACCTAGAAACAACACCAAAACCATCTCAATGGAAGCTTCTTTATTGCACCTTTTATCAGTTTTTTCGTTTGTCTCCATATTTGCATCTCAAAACATTATCAAAATCAAAACATGCATAATACATGGTTTTGTTTACGCTTCTGGGTTCCGAATCTGGACTTTTTGTCAATGGTTTAAATGCAAGTCCAACCTCGACCCTGACATCTCCTCAACCTCGATGGTTAATCTTGGATTTCCCTTGATACTTCTATTTTGTTCTAGGAACAACAAGAAGTAAAGAAAAGAGCAGGCAGTTCAGTTGGGTTTCATCGATGTTAATGTTGAATTCGAGTTTGAGTTTTATCGATTAGGATTCACCGGATTCATTGATAGGTTTCATTAATGTTGATTTTCATCTATTGGGTTTCACTTTATTGATGTTTATGGATTTGGGTTTGCGTTTTTAACTATGAGTTTTGATGATTACATGTTTGTGTTTAAATATATATATATATATATATATATATATATATATTATAAGTATGTTAAGTGTAATATTTTACAAAAAAAATAAAGAAAAACAAAAAAAACTAAAATACTTCTGATGTAACAAAATTCTTTTTTTAGAAATTTTAAAGTAAGAAACAAAATTCGTTATAAAAACATAACCCTGGAAATCCTATTCACGATTTTTAGAGTTCATTGACTTTCTTCATAGCCAAAATGATACCATAGGGATAAACTTTGTAATTTACTCTAATGTAAATACGTTTCAAATATTTAATCAATTTATTATATATTTTTATTAATTCGTTCACAAGATTTTTCGATAATATTTTCATCGTAAAAAATATTGATTTTTCAATTACTGTAAATAACTAAGAAATTTAATAATAATAATAATAATATATGATTTTAAAAAATTATTAAGGGGGTGTTTGGGATTGATTATTTGAAACAACTTACCATTTTCTACAAAAAAACACTTATCAACTTATTATAAGTCAGAATGATTTAACTTCTTCAAAAACTTCTTATTACCGGTTTGACACCGGTATAAGTTGTTTATCCAAACACTCAAAAATACTTATTACCGGTGCCACACCATAATAAGTTAATAAGTTGTTTTTATAAGCAATCCCAAACAACCCTAAAATCAAATTTCAAAACATATATATCAAATCAAGCGTTTATGTTAAAGTTTATAGTATTTAAATTGTCCAATTTGAAGACAAGAAGTTGTTAGTTTACATAGTTTTGTACATGAAGACAAGAACCGGTTCGTTAAGCCTCCGTTGATCAAAGAAGACGAAAACCTTTACCGTTCATGTTTGGTCCTTCAACTATTCTGTAACTTGCATTTCTATCCCCATAAGACCAAAAATGTTAACAAGGAGTTTATTTATTGCTGAAAAGGTAATGTTTAAGAATATTCAGGGGTTCATTTTGTAATTTATGAAAATTCATAAACACACACGCGCTTACAAAAGATCTTACGCCAATCTCGTTGAATAAAAGCCATGTGCACAGGCGCGTGCGTGGCAGGGTGATTTCTATTGGTCCAACTACGTGTATGTCCCTCTTTATTCCACATGGCAACCAATTAAAGAAGGTGGACACGTTTTTCTCTAAGGCCGCGCGTATGATAACATATCCTATGATTTTCCAAAATCACTTTCCAGCTATTAGTATAGGTCACTTTGACACCTTCATGAATTTTAGTTGGTAAAAGTACTTCCTTTAACTATTAGAGTTTGACATCTTTCATCCTTTTGCTTTGAACTCGAAGAAAGTTTAGGCGAAAACCATTTGACTTGTAACTTTGTAATAAAAATTATAGACATTGATATTAACTACAAAAAGGATTGCACTAGTTGGTTAGAGGTTACTTGATATTAACTACAAAAAATAATTGCAGTTACTAACCAATGACGTATTCTGATACAATGTCACCACTTTAGTAATTTATCAGATCCGCCTATGTTGCTAGCATCTCTCTAAATTGAACACATTTGTTATCTTATACAGATTATGTTAACTAACTTTTGTTCCTATACATCAGATGCTTTTTTCTCAACCTTCAACTTCTTTCTGTCCTTTTTAAACAAAAGTACTATCTTAACGTCTAGATTAAGGAGATAGATTTCTTCAGTGGTAAATTCCTTTTCTAGCTCACTTGAAATGTGAAAGTTAAATAATTTATGTTCAAACCATGAAATTTACCAACATTACATGTTTCTTTTTAGTAAGTTTTGACTTTGGAGTTATACCATAGGGGGTAAAACGTATATTTTAGTACTGAAGGTCCTTAGTTTGATTAATAGTATAACTTGGAGGACCCAAAGTATAACTTCGTCTTTAAAGCGGTAGTTCTTCCCAAAAATTTAAATAGAATCCATCTTCCCCCATCCCTCTCCACGACAGTCGTCTCTCTCTCTCTACTTCTCTCTTGGGCTCGTTCTTTGTACAATTCTAGAAAGAGAAAAGAAAGAGAGAGCTTGTAGTTGCATCAATGGCGTTCTTATCTTTCGTTGGTCGTGTTCTCTTTGTCTCCGTTTTCGTTTTCTCTGCATGGCAAGAGTAAGCTCCATTTCTTCCACTCTAGATCTGTTTCGTTGAAAAATTCAGTGCGCTTTATACATTGTTGCAATTTTTGATACTGTTTCTTGTGGTCCGATTTTTTCGTTTGTGGTTTTGGATCTGAAAGTTACAATTTCGATTAATTCTGGTCCTGTGGACGTCTGTGTATTAGATGTAGTTCTAATAAGACTGTTGGTCTGTGCAGCTATAATTGGGTTTGTTTATTTTATACAAGCTTTCATTGAGATTTGTGGTATGGTGTAATTCTTAGGATTCTTGTTTCTGAACAGAAGATAAATTTTTTGCGAAATATTAGTTTCTAGAAATTATTTTGTAATTCTGGCTTAGGTTTACTTGATTGATATTATTGAACTCTTCGTTTTAATTTTTCCAAAATTTAAAGTGTGGTGTTTTTCATTTTCTTCTTCAAGTTTTATATTCATTGCAGTTTGTAGAATTAGAACCTAGGTGGTATGATTTTTGGTAAGATTTTTAGATCCTGAGGCATTCGTATATTTCTAAATGGACAAGCTTGTGTAGAGTCTTTTACTGAAATGAATCCGAGACTTTTCTCCTAAATTAGTTGGTAGGCTAACTCCAACTAGTATCTTGGGATATTTTCATGGGAAATTGTCTGAAATAGCCATTTCGGACCCCCAATTCGATTTATAGCCGCCTTTTCTTATCAGTTGACCGAAACAACCAAGATTTCACAACTAGCACTTTACTAACTTGTGAAATCTACTTTTTATGGATTTATATTCATGAAGTAACTCTTTCGCAAGTTGCTGAAGTGCTACTTGTGAAGTGTTGACTTGAAAATGCCGCTTATGCAACTTGCTAAAGTGCTACTTGCGCAACTTGCTAAACTGCTACTTGTTAAGCCAACATTTCACAAGTGGCATTTTAGCTTACTTAACTCATTAAAAGTAGATTTCATAACGTGCTAAATTGCTGATTGCAAAATCTTGACTATTTCAATTAAGTAGAAAAGACACTATACATTGAATTGGGGGGTTTGTCATGACTATTTTGGACAATTTCCCCATTTTTATTTGTTAATTTAGATTTATTTATTCGTTAAATTAAATTAACTTCCGGTACTTTTTCACATGATAGCTTGGCCATCATTGCTATTCAATAGTATGGACCCATTTTCTTTAGACTTTTTGATTGAGATAATTACTGATGCTATCATATCTGAAAAACCAACTTTTCACTCACTCATTTGAAACATGCATTTAGGATTTGAAACCCTTTTCATTAGTCTCCTTGTTCGTCTTTAATGAAGGTTAAGATAAGAGCTGATAATGATCTTCTTGATTTTGGAAAAAGAGGTGACGAATCTGTTGCATTCTTAAGCATGTTGTTACTTACTTATTGCCTTCTAAGTAATGGGGTCATGATGTAATTAACCCATATTATATATGTTGGAACAGCATTTGTCTAGTGATTAATGTACCACTTTGCATAATCTGCATTGATTGGTCTTCAGTTTTAAAAGATATTGCAGTTTCCATCAATTTCCTTTGTATAGGTAGATAAAATGTAGCGTTAGCTCAACTGACAATAAGACTTGGGCCTTTTGGGGATCCTCTTTATAGGTCCCCAATTCAAGCCTTGCAAGGCCATTGGAGATTTTCCTGGCTGTTCTCTAGGGTCCTTGGGATTAGTTGAGGTGTGTAAAGCTGGCCCGGACACCCATGCTTAGCTAAAAAAGTAGTTGTTGCATGTACCACTTTCCTAGGAAAAAAGATTATTCCTTTCGTAGTGTTCTGAACTGCCGCTGGTGCATGTAGGTTTAACGAATTTGGAGTTGATGGCGGACCTGCAGCAAAAGCCCTTACGCCAAAGTTCAATGTTCTTTCCAAGCATTTCACAACACATACTGGTTTTCAAGTGCCAGTTTTTGAGGTAATGGATTTTGTTTTGTCTTCACAGGAATCATGCTAGTTTATAACCTATAAACATCTGCAACTTACATTGTTGGGGATGTTATCAAACAGATCAAATTCTTGGTTGCTGGAGCTATAGCCTTGAAAGCCCTTGGAAGCTTCCTTTTCATCTTTAACAGTACCATTGGTGCTACTCTCCTGGTTAGCAAATTTTGATTTCAAGGACCATTTCTTCGTTTGATCTTTTCAAAATCAATCGTGTAACCCCTTGTCTTTAATACCCTTTTGCAGATATTGCACCAGTTGATTGCTACTCCCATCTTATACGACTTCTACAACTATGACATTGAGAAAAAGGAATTCCTTCAACTTTTCATCAAATTTACACAGGTTAGCATAAAGGCAGATCTTTTCTCTCCCTCTTGGTAGGGTACTATTATGTTTACTTGTGTTAGAATATGTGTAATTCTTTTGAATCTCTTGAGGAAGGAATAAGGTTCCAACATATATACAAGTTCTTTTTAATTTTTTTTAATCTGGTACACCACCAAATAGCAATATGACACGTGTGATACCCTTGGCTGTATACAATATATTGGAGTACCATATTGGCTAGACTTCTCAGTTTATGTTGAAACCTCCCCTCTTAGTTCTTACTTTATTTGCTCTTTTAGGGAGTAATCTAATGGGTTCCATGTATCTGTCTGGTATCAAAACCAATGTCTATCCCTCTAAGAATTCAAAACACACTCTGGCATTTGTATTTGTATAGCCTTTTTGTTGGATGGGAGTGTTGGGGTCCCATATTGACTAGGCTGGGATCTCTTCTCAATATTTGTTGGAATCTTCCTTCTTACTTCAATACCTCTTTTGGAGAGTAAATCCAATGGGTTCGACTTCCACATATCTCACATGGTATCAGAGACAAAATCTATCACTCTAGGGACTCGACACACTCAGGCATCTATACCCATCTGACCTTTTTTGGAGGGGGAAGGTGTTATAGTCTCTATCTGACTAGACTTAGACCATTTCTTCTTAATATATGTTGGAACCTCCCTTATTTTTTCGAGAGCTCTTTTGGAGAGTAATCTAACACCATTCTTTTCTTTTCTTCTTTGATGATCTTATTGACTTGATATGTAACTTGGGTTTTGTAGAGTTTGGCATTGTTGGGGGGACTCTTGTTCTTTGTCGGGATGAAGAACTCCATCCCAAAAAGATCTTCGACGACGAAGAAGGCCACGAAAACAAAAACCGTGTAGAAGATTTGAGGAGATGATGTTGTAAAAGGTTGCATTAATTAATTAAGGTGATGGGTGCATCTTGGGTTTGTGTTTTGCTGAACCCTTTGCCATTTGATGCAATCTCTTGTATGATTTCTGTTAAGATTTTGTTGCTTCAGAATTTTGCAACATTTTTTGAGTTGGGTTCTAATTTAAGGTTAATCTCATCATCATTTTATTCATGCTCTTCTCTTCCTTCCCTTTGCTTATTGGTTGCATTTTTTCACCAACTTTCTGCAGGTATTCGTGATCGTGCATTACTTCATAATAAGTTGGCTAAAAATTTCCGTAATGATACAAATTAGGATGAGATTCATTACTGTGTTGGATAATGTCTACGAGACGATGCACAAAAGTCCCAAACCAATTGCCACAATATGCAACCCAACAACCGATATGGAATTTTAGGATCTTAAATGTGTTTAAATGTACCAACACATAGAAAATCCAATCCAATTTGAAAATAAACATGAACACCAAGATTTAACGTGGTTCAATTATTGGGAGACAATGTACATCCATACGGAATTTGTATATTGATGAACAAATGGAGGAGAACTGATACAACATATGATAAATGAATGAAGGTTGATCTCGTTGATTCTGTGAATGCTTGGTTATAATCTTTTTTTGAATCGAATTCACAAGAACTCAAGATTTAGGATGGAAATTGGAAGTCTCTGTATTCAATGTCTGACCATCTAGATTATACAATAAACATATAAATAAGAATCCCAAACTCAAATGGGCTTGAAAAGATGATGGACCAAACATAAAAATCGAAATGAAAATTTTAAAAAACAAAGCAAAAAACATAAAAGTGTCCAAAAACATGTTTAAATGACGTTTTTAGGCCTCGGAAATCGCGTAGGCCCCTTTGGATTCTACCTAGGACATGCTCCTCGTTTTCAAGCTTCTAATGGACTTGTTATGGGTCTGAAACGGATTTCCATAGTAAAAGCGATGCACGTTTAAACGTCACATCCTTTGTTAGCCTGATCATGAACCTCCAAGAACAATACATGGTCCTCCATGCCAAAGCCCACGTTAAGAACACAATGAAGCTTACCTTTACAATGATCCTACAATCATTTGGTAAAACTTCTCTGAAAGTGCCTTCGAAATCATCTAAAAGCATCTCCAATCTTACTCCCTATATTTGAGTGAATGTAAGAAGTGAAATACATTGAAATCAGTCTGAGGAGCAAAATCATACATTGTTACTCCAATCATGCTCCCTATTAGGGGTGTCAATTTTGTACCATGACAAACCAACCAATTTTTTTTTACAAACCGTACCAATTTAATTGGTACCAACCTAATTGGTTGATAGTACCGTACCAACTATCTAAACTTGGTGGACACATGGTATTAGAAGTCATGCACCATGGAATACCGTACCGTACCAACTTATTTTTTTTGATTATTTATTAATTAAAGTTTAGTATAATACCACATATATTGATTTTAAAATTTAAATGTTCTTATTTTCAGTTTTGCTGAATTATGATATGGATGGATAGATAGAACTTGACTGAATTCATTCTTCCAACTCTCACAACCTAGTAACGCGTTCGCACATCCACCGTCAGTCGTCGCTTCTCAATGGCCGTTTGTTTAGATTTTCAAGTAATGGTTGTATTATATGGAAATTATTTGAATGCTTTTATATATAGTGATAAATGGTACAACACATATCAACATGTTATTTGGTTAATGTTTAAGTGTATCTAAATCTAGTTCGTAAAGATGTTAATATAAATAAATTTGTAACTTCAATTTTTAGTTGGTATAGAATCGTACCAACATGTACCAATCGAAAAAAGTTGATACCAGTTTAGTTGGTACCAAGTTTAGTTGATACCAAGTTTAGTTGGTTGTTACATGATATAAAATTTCAAGTACCAATTATAATTGGTTGATACACAGTATTTGGAAAAAAAAACATGGTACCACACCATCTCACCCTTACTCCCTACCTTAACAAATATGCATTAGTTTAATAATATCCTTTTTTTTTAGTTTCTGATTTAAACAAAATAAAAAAGGACATACACACATATATATATATATATATATATATATATATATATTTCGTTTCATTTATTATGATTTGTACACCTAATGTAACCCAATCAATTGAAATATTTATGGAAATGATAAGAGTTCATTTATTATGATTTGAATATTTAAGCAAGATGAATATGGTCCATTAATCATGATCAATACTTTATATTAGGAAACAATTAAAACTTCTATGAAATCACATATTTATCAAATTAAATGAACGGTTGAGATTGAGTTGTATTGGTTGTACAAATAGAAAGGGTTGTATAATAACCCATCTCTCTCTCTCTCTCTCTCTCTCTCTATATATATATATATATATATATATAGGGTCCATTCAAGGGAGAACTGACTAGTTTGTGGTAACCGTGAGATCTAATATTAACCACAAATCAATAGATAAATTAGGAAATTTATAATTTTAGTAATTTTTAATTAAAATTTTAATGCAAGGACATTCTCTCCTCTCTTCTCTCTCCGTCCCCGTCTTCCGGCCACCATCCTCCGGTGATACTACAGTGTGATACTCAAGCACATATAAGATGCATTGTGATACTACTGTGTTACATATCCGATCGACCACACAAACAACCACAGTGTGACACCCAATCACATATAAGATGCATTATGATACCACTGTGGTATCACCGGAGGACGGAGGCCCGGAGACGGAGAGAGAAGAGAGGAGAGAGGAGAGAGGAGAGAGGAGAGAAAATACCTAAAATGTCTTTGCAATAAAATTTTAATTAAAAAATTACCAAAATTAAAAATTTTCTAATTTATCTATTGATTTGTGGTTGAGATTGGACCTTACGGTTACCACAAACTAATTAGTTCTCATTTGATTAGACATATATATATATATATATATATATATATATATATATATATATATAGAGGAGTGATCATATGAAAACCGTCCTCATTTGTGTAAACCGTGCAAACGACCTTCATCTGTTGATTTCATTGTTTAATCTTATGAAATTTTTTCATGAAATTGTTTAATCTTGTGAAATTGTTTCATATAATATTTTTTTTGATGAAGTTGTTTCATATATGGGTGTGAAATTGTTTCATATAATACTTAATGAAACTGTTTCATGTATTTCTCTAACATTAATGAAACTGTTTCATGTATTTCTCTAACATTAATGAAWCTGTTTCATGTATTTCTCTAACATTAATGAAACTGTTTCATGTATTTCTCTAAAATTAAAATAATGAAGATGATAATATCTATGATTAACACCYTCCACGATAAAAMTGATTAATCAACCTCTCATAATTACAAAAAAATGAACAAAATGAAAAATTATGATTGGTTGAATGCGGTTTGCACGGTTTGTACAAATTGAGTGGTTTGCATTTGATCGCTCCCCTATATATATATATATATATGTATATATATATATATATGTATATATATATATATATATCTAATAAATAAGTAACTTAGATGACACGTGTCATCTTCTGGTGAGACGGTTATCTTGTTTTCCCGCCTAAACATGTATCTAGACACAATTTACATTAGTGGTTCAATTAGAATCATTTGAACATATCTAGACACAATTTATATTAGCAGTTCAATTATACTCATTTCATTGACATGTGCTCTCTTATTCAATCAATCCCACTAATTTAGGATGCAATTGATTTTATTCTTGGGTTAATTAATTTGTGTGGTAATTGATTCTTAAAAAATGGTGTTTATTTCTAAGTTTAAATTCAATTTACTGATATAGTTTCATTTTTAAATTTAATTTTATTCTAGGGTTAACTTAATTTTATTCTAAATTCAGTTTACTGAATTTTTTTACTTAAGAGTTATTTCAAGAGAACAAGTCTGAAGTCATTATTTTGAGTTAGCTCATCCGAACTCTGAAGTTTGCTTTTTCAGACATTGCTCACCCGAACTCTGGAGTCTAAACTCTGAAGTCTTTTTTTTTAGACTTAGAAAAAGAAGTCTAAGTCTTCTTTTTCAGATTTAGAAGTCTGAACTCTGAAGTCTTCTACAATTCTGGAGAGTATAAGTTTGAAGAGTCATTCTTCAGAGTTAGCTCATCCGAACTTTGTAGTCTTCTTTAGGGGTGTTCAAAAAAACCGTTGGACCGCTCAAACCGGCCGAACCAAGTCAAACCGG